GTGATAAGAATTTCGCCCTGAAAGAGTATCTACTTAAACATATAAAGATTCATGCCGGTGAGAAACTGTACAATTGCTTGAAGTGTGGGATTTCACCCGGAAAGAGAGTTTGCATAAACATATGAGGACTCATACCGGTGAGAAACCGCACAGTTGTTCGAAATGTGGGATGAATTTCGCCGATCCATCGAATCGGCTTAGACATATGATAATCATTCATACTGGTGGAAAACTGCACAATTGTTCTGTGTGCAATAAAACATTCTCGCTATTACATAACATGAAACGTCACATGAAGATTCATGACAATGATAGGCAGAAATTCAGCTGCCCTGTATGCAGCAAAGCTTTTGTGACGGAATCCTATTGGAAAAAACACATGGAGAATTGCACCTTGAATGAACTGATAGACGCATTTTAAACCGAAATTGTGCATTGCTATTTTGTTGTATTTTCTATAAGTTAAATTCATTACTCTTTGTTGTATTGTTAGCATTCTATTGCTTTATATATATTGTTTCCTTAAGATTTCTTTATTACTTCTCTTGAAATTTCCCGTTTCGTGTCTACTTGCATCTTACTGAGCAACCTTTTCATTATTAATGCACATATGACAAGCATGTAACTTGCATTCCATGCATCAAATGAAAGTATAACAAAATGGAAGTAAATTTTTGGCAACAAAAAGGCTTTTCTTAATTACAATACTTGAAATCTCCCGTCATTTCATGGGGTCACTCATCCATTTCGTTTGTCAACTCACAGTTCCATTGCAAGGTTCCGCTGAAAGCAATAGGCATTTTGTCATGCATTTTCAAGTAACACTTTACTCAATTGATAATCCATCGCAACTACTATTTAACACCGGTGAATTGCCGAATAGTTGATATGCATTCGGTGAAAGTTCAAAACGGTGACAAATCTGAGGAAACAGAGAAAAAATCACAGCACCGAAAACTTTTGATGGTCAATTGTGAGGAAAAAGTTTCCAAATTTAAGAAGTATGAATAAATTTAATCTGATCAGATTTATTTTCTGACATAATTTGGGGAAATATGTTAATACGAATGTGCATGACAGATTAGTTTTTAGAAATTCTGAGAATTGTAAAAAAGGCTTTGTTAGCTGTTTAGTCAAAAATGAATAAATACATTTCTTGACTAAAATTTATAAAGGTAGCGAGAAAGATAATTAACAATTCGAAATGTCTCAAAATACTGCTAAATGATCCAAAACTCTGGAATGGAAATTGAAAACTTCAAGGAAAAGCAATAAAAAATTATATCAGAACGATTTTGAATATACCGAGAAAAAGAATTTAGTAGTCGAAATTATCTTATTAATTTTCTATCATTAATATATGAAGCAGGTACTTTCTCGGCCCATCCTAATGAAAAATAGTGATTTTATGATTTTCAATTAGGTGTTATTTAATGGTTTCACAACTCATAGCTTATATTGCTTAAATGTCTTCGGTTGCTTCCTGTACCCCTCTAAATCACTCTTTTCCCCTCTTCATACCACTAATTTCCTTACTATTCTGTTTCA